AGGTCAAGGGGAAACCAAGGCACAGAACAGAAAGGAGCCTGGCCTTGGGAGTTTTCGATCTGGCCACTGGAACCCCCGTCCCCTCCCCCTCCCCAGGCATGTGGCCGAGGGCATGGAGTACCTGGAGAGCAAGAAGCTGGTGCATCGAGACCTTGCTGCCCGCAACATCCTCATCTCTGAGGACCTGGTGGCCAAGGTCAGCGACTTTGGCCTGGCCAAAGCTGAGCGGAAGGGGCTGGACTCCAGCCGGCTGCCAGTCAAGTGGACAGCGCCCGAGGCACTCAAACATGGGGTGAGTGCCCCTCTGGCCTTGGGACCTTGGAGCCTCAGCTCCACTGTGTGATGTGTCTTGACCTCTCTGAACCTCCAAAGGAAATGGCTCTGCCTTCCCACTATTTGGCCCATAGTTGTTCTTTTTAGCACCCATCATGTCTCTCCTGTGTGTGAGTCGGTCAGGGCCTGAGTTTCCCCATTTCTGGGCTCAGTGCTGAGGGCGAGAAAAACCATCCTCCTCCCTGCACTGAGTCTGAGCTCCACTCAGTAGAGGGGGCATGGTCTCAGGGAATGGAGTCTTTTAGGAAGGGACCAGAGAGTGAAGGTCAATCCAGGGGCACTTCCTGGAGGAATCAGGGACTGGAGCTGAAACCCTGAAGGGTCCCTCCTCACCTTGGTCTTGGGCCCCACAGAAATTCTCCAGCAAGTCCGATGTCTGGAGTTTCGGGGTGCTGCTGTGGGAGGTCTTCTCGTATGGCCGTGCTCCGTACCCCAAGATGGTGAGCGTGGTCTGGGTGGGGGAGGCACTGAGTCTGGGACGGTGGTCCTGAACCCCAGCCCATACTGGTGTGTCCTCTGCCTGCAGTCACTGAAGGAGGTAACAGAGGCTGTGGAGAAGGGGTATCGCATGGAACCCCCTGAGGACTGCCCGGGCGCTGTCCACACACTCATGAGCAGCTGCTGGGAGGCGGAGCCCACCCGCCGGCCACCCTTTCGAAAACTGGCCGAGAAGCTGGCCCGGGAGCTACGCAGCATGGGTGCCACTGGCCACGTTGAAAGGCAGGACGCTGATGGCTCCACCTTGCCCTGTGCCCAAGAGCCTTGACCCTACCTGGGGCCATGGGCCCCAGAAGATCGAGGGAGTAGGGGGCTCAGGGTGGGGGCACAGGCAGGCCTAAGGAGGGTCAGGGCCAGCAAGCTGCCCACCTGGCTCACAGCACAGAAGCAAGTTCTCTGGGGGGCTCGGGGCAGCCCCCGGACACCACAGACCTGGGGAGGACTGGTGCACCCATAAAGACTGGTTCCAAGACCTGTGGGCGTCTGAGTCACTCTCTGCGAGCCCCGACATCCTCTCAGCCCCGGTGGCCCGCGCTGCCGCCCATCACTCAGCTCTGGACAATCCGCCTGCCAGTCATCTGCCCAGCTATGACGCGCTGGCGGCCACTGTGGGGATACCGACCCCTGGGATGGAACCGGGAGACTCCAGGCCAGGCATCACAGCCGTCCTGTGGACCCACTTGCCATCACCCACAGGTCCCTGCTTTGGTCCATCTGTGGGTGCTACATTCAACCCTCAAAGTTTCAACCCTGGGGTGGGTGCCCAACCCTTGGACTCAAAGGATCATGGGAGACTTGTCCTTCAGAGCAGGTATATAGGAGCCCAGGGAGGGTCTGCCACTGCAGCTGTGTCCCGGCCTGGGGATGTTCCAGTGCGGCCACCCACATTCTCCAGCTTGTGGCTTTTTTTGAGTCTCCTCTGGAGGCACAACCCAACAGTTTGACCCAGTGCCTCCAGAGGAGACTCAAGGAAAGCCAGCTGAGCTCTGGCCAGGTGGCTAACTTGGTTGGAGCATCATCTTATGTGCCAAAAGGTTGTGGGTTCGATCCCTAGTCAGGGCACATACCTAGGTCGTGGGTTTGATCTCCGGTTGGGACACACATGGGAGGCCACCAATGGATGTTTCTCACATCAGTGTTTCTCCCTTTCTCTCTCTCAAAAAAAAAGACAAAAAACACATGTATTTTCGGGTGAGGGTTAAAAAAATAAAAGCCCCCTGAGCAGCCTGTTCAAGGCCCTGTCCCTCTTGTCCAGTCTGGTGAGGGGGCTTGACTCCGGGCTTGCTCCCAGGTTTGAATTCTCACTGGCCCCCTACCTGTGTGGCCCCAGGGCACCTCAGGCAAACTAGGGGAGTTGGTCCCCCTTCCTGGGCCCACCAGGCTTCTCTGTTAGCAGGCATCTTGGTGAGGCAGGGCGGGGCGGAGGCTGTAAGGACCCAGAGAGCGGGGAGTGAAGGGCCGAGCACACAGAGCTGGTGTTGTATTGCTGTGACTGTCAGCCGCCCCATCTCAGCCAATATTCCCATCCAGGGTGCCTGGAGGGGTCTTGGGCCAGGCTGGATGCTGCCCACCCCAGGACCTGCCAAGCTGGGGAGGGGACACCAGGCCCCAGCACACCCTATCACCCCTGCTGACCCACCCTGCCTGAGCTGCGCCTGAGCTAGACAAATGCCCCAAGGTCACAATGACCTCCTGAAGTGCCTCCCGAAGCCTGGCCCGCCTTCTGGCCTCAGTGTCCGCACAGCACCTCAAGGGGGCCAGTGATTCTTCCTGGGGGAGCAATGAAGGGGAGGAGTCTGGAGAGACAAACCCCCACCAACTAATCCAGGGCTGCCTGTCCCTGGGTCCGGCCCCACCCTGCCCCTGATCTGGCCCTCTTAAGCTGACAGAGCATCTGTACCTTTGGCCACATCCTGCTAAACCTTGAAAGCCCCCTGCACCTGACCTGGATCCCTTCTGCGGCTTCTTAACCTGCGGGGCCAATTAGCTAATTGGGGCCTGAGAACTGAGCAGCTTTTTAACGTTTTGAATTGATGAAGCAATTAGGGGAATTACGTGCCTGCCCCACAGAGCCCGTCTTACAGATGGGGCAGCTGAGGCCTGGAAGGGCCCAGGAAACACTAGCTGCCCCTCCAGCAGGGGCTCAGGACATGTGGGGCCTCCCCCTGCCTCCGGACCTCAGCCCTCCCTCGCGGGACAGGGGAGCCCCAGCGGGCCCCTTCTCCACGGCTGCTGGTCCCTGCAGCTGCACCTGATTCCTCAAGGGCCTAGTCACACCTTTTCTGGGTGGGGGGGGGGGGGGTGCCTGACACTGTCTGTCTCTTTCTCCATCTGTGTCTCTCTCCCTACAAAGTCAACATTCCAGAAGGATCTATTTCTACTTTCTCTTGTACTCACTCCCTAGGCCATCTGAGGACCCGGGTCTCCTCCACCTGGACAACCTCCCTCCGCTAAATCTGGCAACCGGTTTTCAGGCCTCCCCGTGGCCCCTCACCCCCAGCCCCCTCCTCTTGGTTTTCAGGGCACTCCCGGACCAAGCCACCAGGCTTCTTGGATTGCAGGGGGGCCGGGGGGGGTTAGCAAACAAGCCTTAGTCTTCCCCTAGATCCTGCTCCAGCTCTCGGGCCACCGCTTCTGTGACAATCCCATCATCCCCCCCCCCCCCCGGTCCCCAAAACAAGGATCTCTCCCCCTGCCTCCCCAAATTCCCACCTTAGGATTTCCTACCCCGCTCTCCCTACTCCCTGCATCCCCACTACCCTTACTCTTGTCTCCTGGCCTCCCAACTTGCTCACAGTATGTACTCTTCCAAAATACCATCTGGCTGCGTCCCTTCCCTGCTCCACCACCTCCCATGGTTCCCTAGTACCTTCCCCTTCATACCCAAACCTTGTTCAGAATTTGCAGCCTTGCCCTCTGTCCCCCATTCTGATCACTTTCCTTAAAAAAGCAAGTCCCCCTTGCCTGCCCCCTTCCCTTCCCTGCTTTGAGTTTTCTTACTAGATCTCTGACCACCTGACACTGCATTTTACCTACATAGTTGCTGCCTGTCTCCCCAGCCAGAACGTCATTTCCAAGATTTGTGTCTGTTTTGTTCACTGGTATGTGGTAAGTGCTCAGTGTTTATTCACACCTCAAAACTTAGCTAAAATGCAGCCTCTGCCGGGCCCTGTTCAGCATCCAGAGGAGCCACCTAAAACTGCCTTCGCCTCTCAGGTCGGCACCCAGCCCCGCTGACATCTGTGAATCTAACGGGCTTTGTGTGTCCCCACTGATAAAAACAACAGCAGACATTCGCTGAGCACTCACTCCACGCCCATCACTGTGCAGTGCTTTCTTCTAATCACCTCATCAAGTCCCAGGGAGAACTCCCTGGGGTAGGTCCTGGTGTCCACATTTTACAGCCAGGAAAACAGGCCGAGATGGGGAGGCCCTTGCTGGTGTCCAGCTGCAAGGGGAGGAGGACCCAGGTCAACAGTGTCCCCTTAACCCCCAGCCCTCCGCCAGCCTGGCCCTCCCTTGGTGGCTCAGGGCAGCCACTTGGGAGAGGCCACCTCAGTTAATCACCTTGTGCTAATCTTCACCCCCCCCAGCCCCTGCCCAACCCCACTGCCTGGGCACTGGCTGGGCCGGCCACTGGGCCAGCTACGGTGGGAGCCCCGTGGGTACCTGGGCTGACGAGGGGCTGGCTGCTGGGAGTGGTGAGCCCTGGGCAGTTGGGCAAAACGAGGGGGTGGCTGCAGGTGCGGAGAGCCCACTAGGGCAGAGGGCTTGGTGGGAAGGAAGTGTTACATGGGAGCAGTGTCCTAGCCTGCTTTCCTAGGGGTCCTAGACACAGAGGGAGACAATCAGACAGAAAGACAGGTATAGGGAGAGAGTGGCAGCCAGGGAGAGCTCCAGAGGGAAAGAGAAAATAGAGGTTGGGGGACAGAGACACAAAAAGAAGAAATGGAGGAGGGGGTGGAGACAGGGAGATAAAAAATGAGATAATCTGAGATCAACAGAGACTGGGGGAGGCAGAATGAATGCAGGATGTCACGGGGGAAAGCCCCTTCACATCTTACCCTGGACCCAGCAGGCTCCCCTGCCCTCCCCAGCTAACAGTCCCTCCTGCTGTCTCACCACCATCTGTGCTGCTGCTGTGCCGCCAGTGAAGGTGAGGAGGAGCCATGTTCCTGAGCCCTGGCGAGGGTCCCATGGCTGAGGGTGGGGGGCCGGCACCCTGTGAGGAAGCCCCCAAGAAGAAGCACCGGAGGAACCGCACCACCTTCACCACCTACCAGCTGCACCAGCTGGAGCGGGCGTTTGAGGCCTCCCACTACCCGGACATTTACAGCCGCGAGGAGCTGGCAGCCAAGGTGCACCTGCCGGAGGTGCGCGTGCAGGTGAGGGCACCCCTCAGTGACTTAGGCAGGAAGCTAGAGCCAGATAGGGACCTTCCCAGTGCATGGGTAGAAGAAAAACTGGGAAGGTCACTCGGAGGAGGAGATGCGGGACTGAGGCTGTGACATCTGAATAGGAGTTCACCAGCAAGAAAGGGTGTTTTTCTAGGCATCCAAACAGCATGTGCAAGGATGTGCAGGATTAAGTTAGAGTGGTTTCCACTGAGTTGGGTCAGAGATGGGCAGAAGGAGAGGCAGAAAATGGGGCTGAGAAAGAACCCATGAGAAGCCTTGAAAACCAAACTGAGCGGCTTGCACTTCATGATGGAGACCAGGAGAGACCAGGGGAGAGGCCGAGGAGCTTGAGGGGTCTGGCTGAAGAGAATGGCGAGGAGGAATTAGATTCAGAAAAGACTTAAGGGTTGAGGTGATGGGGGCCATGACGCAAGGGTTCTACTCTCAAGGTGGCCTTGAGGTGGAATAACAAAACATGTGGGCACTGCAGCAGGTGGGAGTCAGGTCAGACAGCAGGCAGAACCCGGAGGGCTGGGGGGCCCAGAGAGGGATGCAGTGGAGTGGGGAAGAGCCGCTCTTCCCCGCTGGCCTTGGACTCAGAGGACCCTCTTGCTGCTTCCAGGTGTGGTTCCAGAACCGTCGAGCCAAGTGGAGGCGTCAGGAGCGTCTGGAGTCCAGCTCAGGGGCTGTGGCAGCCCCAAGGCTTCCTGATGCCCCAGCACTACCATTTGCCTGCCCTCCAGCCATGCCCCTGCCCCTGGAGTCCTGGCTGGGCCCCGGGCCACCCGGCAGGCCAGGCTTCACTCACCTCCTAGGCCCGGCCCCGGGGCTGCAGCCAGCCTTTGGGCCTCATGCCCTTGGTTCGGCCTTTGTGGAAAGCTTCACCCTGGAGGAGGCATCCCTTCGGCTACTGGCCAAGGAGCACGCACAGGCTCTGGACAGGGCCTGGCCACCGGCTTGAGCCTGTGCCTACCCAGCCCTTCCTCTCTGGCCTGTCCCAAGGACCTGGGATGATAGACCTAGGCCAGGCTATCAATGAGGCAAGAGGCTACCCACCCCCACCCTCCCTGTCCACGGCTACCCATGGCAGGCCCCCACCCCACCTCACCCTGCCTTGCAGGGAGACTGGGGCCGTCGTGGAAAGGAGGTGGCCATAGGATTCCCAGGGAGAAGGGGCAGGATCCTGGGTCGCCTTGGGGGAAGTCTCTGTCCTCCTGGGACTTCAGTGCCCAAATCTGTCAAATGGGGGTGGGTAGATTTGTAGGCTCTGGGACTGTAAGACTGTAATTGGGAGCCACCAGAACCGTAATCCTGGGAGTAAGTCTAAATCCCTGCTAATCTTTCACTAGCGGAGCTGCCCCTCTCAGGGCCTCCCTCCCCAAGAAACGAAGGCAGAGTAGCCCCCTCCCAGCTGCCTCCTTTCAGGTGTGCTCCTGGCCAGAGCCCACCAGGTGAGGCGGACACACCGCCAGCCCCAGTGTACAGCGAGGTGACTGCGGCCGAGGTAGAAAGCATTTCCCGGGGCCCCAAAGCCAGCAGCGGGTGGCACTGTTTTTCCCACCCATTGCCTGACTCCACTGCCCCAGGCGCTGCTGGGTCCCTGCTGGCTTTGGAAGCTGCTGCACCCGGGTGGGCCCCAGGCCAGAGCTAATGGGTGACCAGGTGAACGTTGTCTGTCCCAGCTCCTTCCATGTTTCAAAGTGTGGCTTATGTCCCCACTGACCACAGACTCTGTCCCGTCTCCCAGCCCAGAGAGGGTGGTATGTGGCCCTTGGTGGCAAGGCCTGCACTTGTCCCGTCCACCCCAATTCATTCATTCACCCATCTATCCAGTAAGCAATAGGGACACAACGGTAAACAGACAAAAATCCCTGCCCTAATGAAGCTGCCACTGCAGGGGGAGAGACAAGATGCAAAATTAAAAAATAATTAAAATATAAAATGCCAGCTGGTGGTAAATGCAAAGAACATAGGGAAGGGCAATCGTGTGTGTGGGGCAGGTGTTGCCATTTAACATGGCAGTTAGGGAGGCCTCATGGAGGTGGCCTGGCAACAGGGGTAGCAGGTGCAAAAGCCCTGGGGAAGGACCCAGCCAGGGAATTGGAGGCACATCAAGGAGCCCGTGGGCCACATGGAGCAGGGGTGTCCAACCCGCAGGCCACATGCAGCCCAACACAAAATTATAAATTTACTTCAAACCTTTTTGTTGCTCATCAGTTTTCGTTAGTGTTTGTGTAATGTGTGGCCCAGAGACGCCAAAAGGTTGGACACCCCTGCACAGAGTGAGAGGGCGAAAGGGAGGTGAGCGCAGGGCAGTGATGGGGGCGGATCAGCCTGTGGTAGTTACAACTTTGGTGTTTATCCCAGAGTCAGGGAGGGTCGGGATGTGACACCTGCCCAGGGCGGGCCACCTGGGAGGACAGGGTTTTGACAATCCCCTAGGCACAGTCCTACTAAGCAGAAAAAGGCTCTCATTTTCCTGGGACCAAACAGAATTAGCTGTGGGGGCCCCACCCCACCCAGCCAGTGTATGGACCCAGGGGCCTGGAGGGTAGTGCCCAACCCCTACCCCAACCTCTCCAGTTGGCGCCTGCAGGGTTGGGGTGGGACCTTATAGGCACTGCTTGGTGAGTCCCCAGCCCCAGCCTCCTCCAGTCTGGCACTGGCCTTGTCCATGGGATCCTGTCTTCAAAACCCCTCCCTCCCAGCCAGGCAGGGCAGGAGTTAGGTCCACCCAGAGCTGAGGTCCTCCCTGGGGCTGTGGGTCATGTTCACGATACCCCACATTTTCTGTTAAGACCTGGGCACCAGTGGGGGTGGACAAGATGGTTGGTAGGCCCATGTCCCTGGACATCCTTCAAGTGAGTGACCAATGAGGATAACCCCTGTGACCTTGGCAAGAAGGAAAGGGAAGTCCCTTCCATCTGGCTACGCTTGCTGACCTGGGTGCGGCAGGTGTCAGCCAGGAGCCCTGGAGCCAACCTCTGCCCTAGAGAACTACCTACTGGGGGTCAAAAGGACCCAGAGAGGGAGAGCCACGTAGCTGAATACCGAAGCATCTGGGTCCAGCCATGCCCGAAATCAGTCACTGGGTACTTCAGTTCCCAAAGCTCACAAATTCTTTCTGCTCCACACAGCTTGAGTTGGGTTTGAGTCCCTTCCAACCAAGGGTTTTGCTAGAAAAACCCACTTGAGAGGTTGAGGCCACTTGGGCAGTGCAAGGAGGAATTCCAGGAATCAGGGCAAGAACCCCACTGAGGCCTGGAGGTGAGGATGGACCTACAGGAGCCCAGCCAATCGCCAGGAACCACTGCATCTGAGGAGGTGCCTACCTCCCTGCCACCTGCCCTACTTTGCTCTGGCCCAACATCAGACAACACCCAGTAACACCCAGGACCTGCCAATGACAACCCTAACAGGTCTTTATTGGTCCCCAGGACCCTGATCCAGCCTCACTGTGAAGGTCACACAGAATGCAGGTAAGGAAAAGCCTGTTTTCTCCAGGAAAATAAAGTCTTCTGTGGGGCAGGACGGGGGAGGTGTCGTGACCCTCTGGGGTCCTCCTCTGGGGCTTGGCGAGGTCCTTGGCAGGTCAGGGTGCTCTGGCTCCGCCTCTACTAAAACTTTTGGTTCTTGCTCAGCCGGTTGTGGCGCCAGATGTTGTGTTTCCGCAGCAGCCGCCAGTACTCCCGGGTCTCGGGGTCCAACTCCTCCAGCTTCTTCGGGGGGCCCACATTCATCTGGAACAGCCTGATGGGGTGTGGGCAGGGATCAGGGCCACCCAGCAGCCCTCCATGACTCCCGGGCGCAGGCGCTTTGGGCAGAGGCAGCACAGAGGCACTGGCAGGACTGGGTCTGGGGGGGCTGTGTGATCTCGCGGTGGTCCCTCACCTTCCCTGAGCCAGTCTTCTGGCTCTGGAACAAGGGAACACCCCCATCTCAAGAGTGCTGGTGTCTGAGGTGGGCACACACCAAGCTGTCTCCTGCCTCCTGGCCACTGTCCATGCTGTGCACCTGTAGCCTCTCTCCTCCCCCTCAACCTTCCTGCATCTTCCCCAGCTTTATGGATCAGCACATACCAATGGCTTCCATGTCCTACTAATGTTGTTGGGGCCAAAAGCAAAATCCAAATGCCTGCAGCCCGCTGGCCCTGCCAGGACTGCACTTCAGGACCTTCCTGTCATATCTACCCCTACTCTCCACCGCCTTCCCTAAAAACCCAGTGTGGTCCTGCCCCAGGGCCACTGCACTGGCTATTTCCTCTGCCATTGAAGTGCCTTCCACCCACTCAGGTCTTCACTCACGCATCACCTCCCCAGGGAAGTCCTCCCAGAAACCTCAGGCTCTGATTAACCAGGCTCCTCCTCACCCCATCACTGGTTTTCCCCACTTTCCAGCCTGGCCCACTCACCACTCGGGGTACTCCGCATCCGGCTTCAGGACCACGTCCTGGCCCTCCTTGTAGATGTTGACACCCATGGCATGAGTAGTAAGCTGGACAGGGTCTGTGCACACCTCTGGGTCCTTCAGGGCATCACTCACAACGCCGCCTTTGCCGCCTTTGCCTCCCTTAATGACTGGGGAGGAGGGGCGGGGGGCAGGGATAGAGTAGGTTCAGCTTGGTTTAGCCCTTCACAGGCCAGCCTTCCTTTCCTGCACCGTCCCCCCGCCCCCCGCCGGCCCCATCTCTCAGGATGGCCCCGGACCCTGGCTGGGCTCTGTCTGCTGTACTCAAATGATTTTAAGTTGGAGGTGAATACTGAATTAAACAATACTGATGATCTGAGAGACCATCCTTTTCAATTCTATTTCGAGTCTTTCTGTTTACCTCACAGAAAAAGTGCTTCTATGCTACGACCTAACATTTATTTGTCAATTCCCTCCTTCCAACAAAGATCAGGCAAGGCTGTATCCAGATAAAATTGAAATAACCTTCTTTTTGTTTTGCTTAAGTGGTTAATCCTTAGATGTACCCCGATGCATCCTCACATTTCTGGCGACGGCCTGCCAAGGGTCTCACTGTGATCTCAGGGCAGAAATAGGATTGGGACTGGAGTTCTTGACCTCCCTCACCCACCTCAAAACAAACCCATGCCTGCGCAGTGAAGCGCGTTTATTTCGCGTAACCCACACCTTCGTCACCGGCCACTCAGCTTCAGACTGGCGCCTGCGCACTGACTCCAATCGCGCCCTAGGTTAGGTACCTCAAACGGCGCTCGCGTGTAAAACCTAGACACATTTGCCTCTTTACGCTTACGCCTCGATTCTAAGAACCGCCTCCCCAACCAGCGCCTGCGCACTACAAACTACTCAATGTCTTCACTGTTCTCATTCTGGTCCTTCTTAGCCCAGCTCACCAGGTTTCTTAGCATAATTCCGTACAAAGAGTCTTCCTGGAGCGGCAGGGTCCGGGAATTCCCGAGCCCGCCAGCAGGCCCCGGTCCGGATAGCCCCGAATAAACTTCTGGCCGCCATGACGTACGCCGGCTGCCTACACGTACACGTTTTAGGAAACGTCAGCGGCCTAAGGGTGCTTGAGAGACAGTGGCTCCTAGAGATTCCTGGGAAATGTAGTATTCCAGCCTTACGCATACATTGTGATATATAAACTTTTATAGGTATACCAGTTACTGTATGAGGCGATTTAAAAGAATGTTTCATGGATTTCTTGCCCTTCTTCGGTTACTTATTTAAAGATCACACCTTACACATTCCTGATTCTATTCAATGTTCAATTACTCAAAGCCTAAAAGTTACTTAAAAAGCTCAAGCCTATAGGTTATTAGAAAGCTAACACTTATTAGACTCGTATTCAAGCCCAACTGCTAAACCCTTTTTAAAAAAGATTTTTATTTATTTTATTTTTAGACAGGGGGGAAGGGAAGGAGAGAGGGCGAGAAACATAAATGTGTGGTTGCCTCTTGCATGCCCCCGATTGGGGACCCGGCCCACAACCCAGGCAAGTACCCTGATTGGGAATAGAATGAGTAGCAATCCCTTGGTTCACAGGTCGGCCCTCAATCCACTGAGCCACACCAGCCAGGGCCCAATTGATAAACCCTAAATTGGCTTAATTTTGTTTAATCCTCACAACTGCAAGGTATTATCCCTCCTATTATTATTAAGTTTATAATTGAGGGAACCGAGGCCTAGGGAGGAAACGTTAAATCAAGACTCTCCATTTAACCTCCCTACAGTAAGCCGAAACGGAAGTCCATGTCCTGGCGCTGCTTCCGTTATCCCGCAGTGGAAAGAAACCGTCTATCATTCTCCTGTAGTATTTTCCAGTCCTGTATCCTCCCATTTGCCATTCCTTGGAATAACTACCATAGCCTCAGGAGACCAGAAGTGATTATTAACCCCATTTTGCAGTTAAGGAAACGGGTCCAGAGGTCAGCCCAGGCTCCCACGCTGCGTAAATGGAAGCTCGGGATTCGAACAAAGGATTCCGACACCTAGAGGTCCCGCTCGGCTCGGCAGCTGGGAGAACTACATTTCCCAGCAGGCTCCGTAAGGGTGCGCATGCCCAATAGGCCGGGAGCGCAGAGCGGATAGCTGTGCCCGCGCCGATAGATCTGCGGGCTCCCCTAGCCAGGAATGGTGAGCGACCTCAGCTGGGGAGACCCTGCCGGCTCTGCATGTGGAGTCGTAGGGGTCGCGCGGTGAGGCCACCTCGTTTTGGGGAGTGTCCCGGCAGGGCAGAGCGGGGTCAGGGACCGGCGCCTGAGGCTACGGGTCTGAAGTCTTGAATCTTGGGTCTGCCTAAGGATTGGGGTCTTAACTCGTAGCTTTAGACTCGAGTTGTGTTTCCAGGCCGGGTCTGAGGTCCAGGTCTGAGTCTGGGGTCCATGTTGAGAGTGGCATTAAGGTGTTCAGATTAGGTCGGCTTTCTGGTGTCTTGGATTTCTAGTAATAAATCTGAGGTCCTGGGTCCAAAGTCTTAGGCTGGGTTCTGAGTCCGGCGTCTTGGGTACCTGCACCTGTTTGTAAGGGTGTGTCTGCAACCTGTGTGCCACGTCGCGGGAGAAGAAGACTTGGAAGAGTCAAGGCTGGAGTCAACAGGATCCGCAGTGGGGAGAGGTCGGGGGTGACAGGTACAGGGTAATCCCTGGGTGTTTGGAGCCTAGGATGCCCCTGCCTTAAAAATGCTCATTCTATGCCTCTGTTTCCTCATCTGTAAAATGGGTAGCATAGCAGACCCTTCATTGCAGGGTATGGTGGGATTAAATTATGTGTTCTGTGTGAACAGTTCCTAGCTAGCGCCTGGCACCAGGTTGGTACAGGAAATCTCATCTTTGAATGTCTTTCATATGCTATTCTAAGCCTGGAGTCGAAGCATTGAATTCCTGACAAGCCCCTAACCCCTTCCAGGGCCTCCAGCCATGGACTTGGAGGAGCCCAGGGACACACCTGTGCCCTCTCAGGACCTCACCCCTGACTGCCAATGGGACCCGGTGCCAGGAGGCCCATGCAGCCTGAATCAGATGGAATTTGATGGGCCAAATATTCCGGACCTGGTGCAACAGTTTGAGGCTCTGCCGGGTGATCTGGTTGGCCTGTCCCCGGATGGACTCCCCTGCCCCCTGCACATTGCCACTGGTCACGGCCTGGCCTCCCAAGACGTGGCTGATGCCCACGGGCTCCTGTCTGCTGAGGCTGGCAGGGACGATCTGCTAAGCCTTTTGCACCTCGAGGAGTGTCCTCCTTCCCAGCCTTGTCCCAAAGAGCCTCCAGACCCTGCTCCTCGCCTGTTGCAGCCCCCTGAAGATCCAAATGGGGATACTGGCCCCTCAGAATGGGAAGAGGGAGCCTCTGCTGAGCAGCGTGACAGCAAGAGCTCAAGCAGTTCCCCAGAACCCTGGCTGGAGACAGTCCCTTTGATTGCTCCTGAAAAGCAACCTGCCAGTGCCCAGGTAGTGCCTGTCCCAACCCCAAGACCTTCTCTGCTGCCAGGAGCCAAGCCAGGAGGACTCAGTTCTGTCCCTCTTCTGTCTTCTTTTAGAGCCCTGAGACTGTGGCTTCATACCCTGCCCTACAGGAGGGTGAGTGTCCCGCCCGCCCTGGCCCCAGGAACCTAGGGATTTCAGAATAGTCTGAATCAGGCTCCTGATATCTGACTCAAAGTTTGCCAGTAAGAAGTCGCTTCTAGAGAGGCTCTGAGAATGGTTTTAGGTTAATTCCTGATGCTCTGGAAGAAGACAGCCTTGGGAACATTCTAGAATGAGTAGAGGGTAGTAAGGCAGGCTTGGGCATTTGTAGCATGCCATTCTAGCAGGTGTTGGCAAATTGTCATCTGTGGACCAACTGTGGTCCACCGCCTGTCCTGGTGTCTTGTGAGCTATGATAATTTTTGTATTTGTAAATGGCTAGAAAAAAATCAAAAGAGTAATATTTTTTGACATTTGAAAATAATATGCAACTCAAATTTCAGTATCCACAAATAAAGTTTTATTGGGACACCATCATGTCTATTCATTTACATATTGTTTATGGTGGCTTTTGTATTGCAACAGAGACCACTTGGCTCACAAAATAAAAAATAATTTACTGTTTGGCCTTTTAAAGGAAAGTTTGCCAAGCTCTGCTCCATAGGCATTGGAAACACCAATTCTGGTTGCCTGGAATAGTCTAGAATTTTCCCCAAAAGCTGAGGCTGTATGTCTCAGCCTGAGGCTGTAGCAAATTCTCCGGTTGTGAAAAGAGCAACATATGGTTTGGACCTACAGTTCCAAGAATGTTCTATAGTCATGGGTGGAGCTATGACTCACCTAGGGAGTTCCAGAATGTGGCATTGTGCCTGTGGTTATAGATTAAAGGAACCTAGGCTGATGAGAGTGTTCTAGAATCGTAAACAGAGCTGTCTGGTTCTACTTGGACCAGGAAGTTCTAGAACCACAGAATGAACAGAATTTGTCTGTGGCTGTAGACCAGCAGGAGGTGTTCTAGAACTGGGAAGAGCTGTACAGTTCTAGAGGAGTCATCAAAGTTGTAGAGTGCTGCCATACAATAATATGAGTCGTAAGTGACTTGAAATTTTCTAGTTATCCATGTTAAAAAAATAAACAGGTAACATTAATAACACATTTTAATTAGCCCAATAGATGTAAAATAATGTTTCAACATATATTTAACATTTTACAATTATTTTACTTTTTGTTCACATTAGAGCTTCAAAATCCAGTGTGTATTTTGTACTTACAGCACATTTCAGTCCAGACCAGCCACATTTCAAGTGCACAGTGCCCACATGGGCCTGGTGGCTACCATATTGGATAGATAGTACAGTTCTGGAACCCCAGAGCTGAGTTGTCTGTTGTTCCAAAATGCTTAGATCATGAAGGACAATGGGCAGAGATAACTGTGGTTTAAGTTCACAGACAGAAATGAGGTTCACTGGGGCCTATACCTGTGATTCTAAACCAAAAAGCAATCGCTATTGATTAGAACATTCTAGAGCTACTGGCAGAGCTATCTGGTTTTATGTTGCCCAGGGGATTCTGGAGCCATGCGGGCAAAGCTTTATGTGCTTCTGGGCTAGCTCATGTCTAGAACCATGGCCAGAGCTGTTTGTTTCTAAATGTTCAAGTAATTCACTGGCTGCATCTATGGTCATGAATTACTGAGGGAACTCTAGAGCCGTAAGAAGAGCTACCTGATGCTATCGTGATTAAGAAATTCTGGAATCATGGAGCAGAAAAGCCTGATTCTGGAGTCATGTAGGTTTCTGGAACCCCTGACAGAATTCTGTGGTTTGGAACTTGTTGGAGTTCTAGAGACATAAATCAGAGCCACCCAGGGTTGTGGACGGCATGAGCTTTAGATATGTAGATAGTTGTCTGTCCTTGGGTGGCCACTTCTATGACTGTGGAATAGAGTTTTCAACAGTCCTGGGTGGATAGGGAAGAATTCTAGAAAAATGGGCAGAACAAATTGCCTCTAGGTTGATTCAGGGGGGATTCCAGAACCATTGGGTGGCATTGACTACACTTCTGTAGCGTTGCAGGTTTTAGAAATGGGAGTGGGACCACCTGGTTCTAGCCTAACGATGGAATTCTAGAAACACAGGGTGGAGGTGTCAGCACTAGTGCTGTTTTTGGATCTAGCTGTGCTTCTGGACTCACAGAAGCCCCTAGAACTAGGCCTTCTGCCTGGAAATCCTTGAGTCATGGACAGAGTTGGCTCTAGAATGCCAGGCCAGGCAGGTTTAGACAGGGCCAGGCTACTGGGCTGTGTCTCCTGCTGGTGGGGGTAGTCCTGGGAAAGTGGGCAGACGCATGTGAGTCAACAGTATCAGATCATAAGAGGGTAGATCTCCCTGTTCCAGACTTCACGTAGCCAAGATCCTGGACCACACCCACAGGGGTGGACAAGCCTGGCCGGGGCTTTCGAGGGCTGACCTGCCTCCACTTTTGCCCTCAGTATCAGGACCCTGTGACCATGAAGACCTCCGCGATGGTGTCATATTCGGAGCCAAATACCTGGGCTCCACCCAGCTGGTGTCCGAGCGGAACCCACCCCCCAGCACTCGAATGGCACAGGCCCAGGAGGCCGTGGACCGCATCAAGGTGAAGCCAGGGGCTGGCGGGTGGGTTGATGGGCAGGCAGGCCGCGGACTGGGCCCTCCAAGGCCTGGGAGCCTGATAGGGCAAAGGCCGGGTCTTTGGGTTCCTCCACCTCCCACCCCACCCCCACAGGCCCCTGATGGGGAGACCCAGCCCATGACGGAGGTGGACCTCTTTATCTCCACCAAGAGGATTAAGGTTCTGATGGTCGACTCCCAGGTACAGGACCCAGGCCTGGTCTCTGGGGTATGGGGGCCTCTGTTGAGGCTTCCGCAGCCTACCCAGGCCTGATCTTCCCCTCCTCCAGGAGGCCATGATGGACCACGCCCTGCAGACCATCTCCTACATTGCCGACATCGGCAGCGTGCTGGTGATCATGGCCCGGCGGCGAGTGGCCCGGCGGCCAGCGTCCCAGGCCCACGGCCACCGGCTCTACAAGATGATCTGCCACGTTTTCCACTCAGATGATGTGAGCAGCCGGGCTCTGGGTGTCCTGCGGCGCAGGGGAACTCAGACCAGCCCCCACCCTCCTCTAAAGCTCACCTGGCCCCACTGTCCTCCCATTGGTCCTCAGTGATGGCAACTGTCTCCATCCCTCCAGTAGGTCCCACACATTCATCTTTTCCATAAGACTGTGAGACTGGCGCCAAATCCCCAAAACCTTCACTCTCCCAGGCCTGTCTCTCTCCACAGATTTCCTAAGACAGCGGCTCTTTCCCCAAAATCTACACAGACTGGCTCCTGGGAATCTTGTCCCAGGTGGGGCGGGAGGGCTGGGCTCTGAGACGTCAGAAGATTTGGGGGACCAGAAGGAGGAGGGTGTACCGCCCCCAGGGAGATGCTGCCCGTCCTCCACAGGCCCAGCTCATTGCTCAGGCCATCGGCCAGGCCTTCGCTGTGGCATATAGCCAGTTCCTGCAGGAAAGCGGCATCGACCCCCGCCAGGTGGGCACCCAGTCAAGCCAGGGGGCCACGGGCTCCGGCTACCTCCACAACGGGGACCTCGACCACTTTTCCAACAGCGAGAACTGCAGGGAGGTGAGCAAGTGGGTGGGCAACCCCCTGCCAGTCCCCCACCAGATGGCCCTCATGTCCCACCCATGTCCTCTCCCAGGTGGTCATTGAGAAGCGCCGGGGTGAGGGCTTGGGCGTGGCCCTCGTGGAGTCAGGCTGGGGCTCCTTGCTGCCCACGGCTGTCATCGCCAACCTGCTGCATGGGGGCCCTGCGGAGCGCTCAGGGGCCCTCAGCATCGGGGACCGCCTTACTGCCATCAACGGGACCAGCCTCGTGGGGCTGCCCCTGGCCAGTGTCCAGGCTGCTGTCCGCGTGAGTCCTTGGGTGGCAGGGGCCGGGGGGCTGGCCTGCCTCTCCACGTAGCTGAGAAGGGGTGCCCAAGGCCACAGAAATACCTTCTTTGGATAGGTCTGTCGGGCCCGGCCTACTAGGGACATGGTAGCGTCCTACCAGCTCCTCTACACTTAGGGAGACTGATGCTGGGGGGCGGGGGTGTCACCCATCCAGGGTGACCTCAGCAGTAAGTGTGTTTTTGAGCCTTGATCCTTGTTCCCCAAATAGGGAAAGTGAGGCACAGGGGTGAGGCCAGGTCAGAAGAGTGGTTCTGACACAGTCCACACAGCATGTTACTGAGTGTTTACAACCCTGCCTGGTAGACACTGCTAGAAACTTGCTTTTTACCACAAGGAGACTGAGGCCCAGGGAGTCAGGGAGGTAAGAGGTCACACAGGTCCAACCCTGAGGCCATCCAACTCCCACCTGTGTTCTTAACTGCTTCTTGAGGGGTCTTCTAGAATCTAGAACCTTGACTCCAAATCTCCATTTTCCGGGGCGATAAACTGAGGCCCAGAGGAGGCTGCAGCTTGCCAAGAGGTCCAGCAGCCCCCTGAAGGCCCAGCTAGGCCAACAGCCCTTGTCCTGCACAGGAGGTAAAGTCGCAGACGTTGGTGACCCTCAGCATCGTCCACTGCCCACCGGTCACCACAGCCATCATCCACCGGCCACATGCCCGCGAGCAGCTGGGCTTCTGCGTGGAGGATGGCATTGTGAGGCCCCAGCCCGGGGCACTGTGTTGGGGGTGGGCAGCTTTAAGTGTGCACCCCTGAGCAACACGGCCCCTTCCTGTGCCGTCAGATCTGCAGTCTCCTTCGTGGTGGCATCGCCGAGCGCGGGGGCGTTCGCGTGGGACACCGAATCATCGAGATCAATGGGCAGAGTGTGGTGGCCACACCTCATGCCCGTGTCATTGAGCTGCTCACCGAGGCCCACACTGAGGTGCGTGGGCAGTGGGTGGGACTGGGGGTGCCCTCCCACTAGCCTAGGCCCACCCTGAGCCCCCACCTCCTTTCCCATCCCCCAGGTCCACATCAAGACCATGCCAGCCACCACCTATCGCCTGCTCACAGGCCAGGAGCAGCCTGTATACTTGTGACTGGCCACCACCCCCACCACTGTGCCTTAGCCCCACTGGCCCTGGGACTCCCGGCAGTGGCTCCTCCTTGGCTGGCGGGGGCCGCAGAGGATTCTTGGCTCTATATTATTTTCTGATGTAAAAAAATTAAAAGCTTATCAAATGGGTAAGGTCTTGGATCAGGGTGCGTGGGATTAACAGAGGAAAAATGAGACTTCACTCTGGCATCCTTGTCCTTCCCGAAAGCCACTAGAAGCAGTGCTGCGAAAATATTTATTAAAGACCAGGTGGAAGGAGGCAGGGTTCTGTACGGGAAACCAAGTTCCAGCTCCAGGGAGGAAAAGGGAGGGGCCAGCTTGCCACCTGAGAGGTGGTCACAGGTCAGTGGCTGGGCCCCAGTCGTAGCCATCTTCATCAGAGGACCCCACATCTCGGGCTTGTGTAAACTTTTTTCTCACAGCTTCCCGCGCATATGTCCTGGGGATCAGGAAATAGAATAGGGGCTGCTGATGGAGAGGATGTGGCCTTACCTACCATGAACTGAGGCTGGCTCTGTGCTAGGCACACTGGGTGTGGGCAGAGGTGAACAAGACAGGGTATTTGGGGGGTCAGGCTCACTAATGAACTCCTTCACAGCCTTCAAAACCCCACCTCCAATGCCCCCTCCTTCAGGAAGCCTTCCTAGTCTTAGAAAGAGGATTCCTAGTCCCATGGCCCTAACATGGGTCTTAGATTAGCTCTGTCTGGCTCTATCTTGCTTACCAGAAGAGCGCCACAAAAGGATAGCTTGGTTCTAGGTCTCTTCTTCACCCCCATCCAAACCCTGGGCCCCAACCTGGAGTACAGAAGCTCTTACCGTATGCTGTCCTGTCGCGACTGACCCTGTGGGCGGTGGCTGTCCACCTTGGAGAGGGAGGGAGCAGATTAGCCCTTCCCCCAAAAGTGCAATTAATTAAGGTGAGCTACCACCCCCTTTCCACTTCCCCAACTTGGCCCAGGCAGTGCTACCCACAGGCTTTCTTGCCCCTACTACAAGGCTGCCACTCATCCCCAATTTTAAATGAGAAAATAGGCTGGGACGGGGGGCTGCCTTGGCTATCTCCTCGCCTGTTAGCAAAGGGGGAATTGGGTATCCTATCTGTAAAATTTCTCAGGGAACCGCTGTCATCTCATAAATGAGTTCACATATGTGAAGTGCTTAGGATAGTGCCTGCCCAGTAAGTAGGCTGCCATGAGAGGTGAGCAGGCTGGGCATCGCCCAACCCCAGGGAGCACCACTCCAGCCAGACATCATAGGTAAGTACACTTTTATGGAGAGCGTCTGGAGGAAGGGGTGTCTGTCAAATTCACAGGCAGGCACTACAGGCGCTAAGGCAGCCCCAAATAGAATAAGAACTAAAAAAAAAAAAAAAGTATTCAGTTACTATAAGGCAGAACTGGGTTAAGTGTGTTGAGTTTGAACAACCACCCTGTGATGTCAAGACCTTCAGCATCTTCTCTGGATCCCACATGAAGAAACTTCGTGCACGTAGGTTAAAATAGTTGCAAGAAGTGATTCAGTGGTTCGTATGGCCTAGGTTTGGGTCCCAGAAATGCATCTGAGCAAGAGGTTTCTGTTTGTTTACATCCTGGCAGAAGATAGGGTCCCCATGTATCTACCCAGCCCCGCCCCGAGACCCTTGCTGGGGCCACCACCCACTCCCTGCTCACCTGGGCCCCTCGGTGATCTGAGGATCTCCCATGATCCTGCAGGCTCTGGGGTCTGTCCACTAGCACAGGCTCCGAGGATCGGACCAGGGCTGGCTCTGGGGGCCCTTCGTCCACATCTGTATAGGGCCCACCCTCTCCGTCTGTGTAGCCCTCGCCGTCTGTGTAGCCCTCGCCGTCTGTCTCGTAGTCACTGTTGACCCGGCTGTCACAGCTCAGATCCGCCGAGCTGTCAGCCAGGCCACGGTGAGGGAGGTCCAGGTTGTCCTCAAGGGAGCCATCTAGCTGTGGGGTGGGGTGGCCTGACTGAGCCAAAACCCAGCCCAGGCCCTCCTGGACCTCAGACCAAACTCCGACCCACAACACCACCTTCCAACGCCAGTCTCAACCCAGGTAAGACCGCTGACCCTCAAGCTGATGCTTAAACCTTGACCCCAGGATGAGTTCTGGCTATTGAGCCCTTGCTTGACTCAAGGCTGAGGCCCCAAATCTGAGTTGAGTCCCAACCCTTGAATCCACCCCAGTCCCTAAATTGAGTCTCCCAATCCCATGTCACCTCAGGTACCCGATCCAGACCCTAATCTCAGGTCAAGTCTTGGCTTTGGCTGTGCCTTTGACCCCTGGTCCAGCCCTGAATCCAGATACAGTCTCCAAACCCTGACTGGGTACCTGGTCCTCAGCTGTCCAGATGGGCCGAATCTGCTGCTCTTGGATAATGGCCTTGAGCTCCTGGTACCAGCTGTCACTTGTGCCACGCAGGTGAATGGTAGCTGTGGGCAGGGGGCATCACTGTGGGCCCAGAGACTCAGACCAGACCCCCGCCTTCCCCTGGGACTCCCACTCCACCCTACCTGTGAAGAGGTGCTCGCTGTGCTTCCACAGCTTCTGGGCTTGAGCATAGAGACGGCGGGTGCTGCGGCGGGAGGCGGGTGCCAACCATTGGCGCAGAGCCTTGAGGGCCTTGCGGCTCTCCGGGGCACAGAAGACCACAATGGGGTAGTACTGCACGTAGTTGAGGCGCTCGACTGCTGAGGGTGTCACATCTAGGAGTGCATGCTTGTCCTGGGCAGGGGGTATTGGGGGAGGGAGAGAGTGGAGAGAGAAACACACCCAGAAACAGGCCAAAGAGATGAGTGAAGAATTGGAGAGAAAGAGGTCAGAGTAGACCCCAGCCTGGCACGTCCACAGGCCAGCATGTTGGGGTGGGGGTTGGTGACAACCCAGGTGTCAGTGTCTTGAGCCCCAGTTTGAGTCTCCCTGCCTTTTTCCAGGGCTTGCTTGCTGCTGTGTGACTCAGGGCAGGCTCTGTCCCCCTCAAGCCCCAACATCACAAAGCTTCCAAAGGGGACTCCGTGGGAGACCACACTTGAAGGGCACGGGGAGAGAACAGGTTGGATGATGGCCTCAGCTTCCCCATCCATGATATGGGAAAGCCACAGCAGAGTCCTGCTTACCTTCTCCGCGATCACGCGCACGGTGTCCAGCTTGATGATCTTAGATGGGCTATTGGTCCTCAGCACACTCTCTGTGAAAGGGAGAGGCAACTGGCAGCTTTCTGGTGGGCAGTCCCCTGGCTCCTCAAATTCATGCCTACCTGTCCCTCCCCTGCTCAAGAACCCACCATGGCTCGCCACTGCCCTTGAGAGGAATCCTGGCAGCGGCAGCAGGAACTCCTGTTGGACTTGTGCCCAACGCTGCTGATCTGTGTCCCTGCCTGAAATCAGCCCTCAACTCCCTGAGGAAGGGAGGCTGTTACTGTCCCATCTGGCAGGTGGGGAAACAGCCTCAGGGACATAAGGTCCTCAGCTCAGAGTCATGAAGGCAACAACTGACAGGGTCAGAAGCCTGGTGTGAGTCTGCTCCAGGCTCATTCTCCCAGGATTGGTCCTGGCTCTTAGCCTTTCCTCAGGCTGTGACTCAAAAGCTGCTCCTTTTAGGTGTACAGCTCAGTGGCATGAAGCACATTCGTATTGTTGTGCAGCCGTCCCCACCAGAACTTTCTGACTCCCAAACTGAAACTCTGGTCCCATTAAACACGAACTCCCATCCCCTCCCCCAGCTCCTGGCACCATCTACTTTCTGTCTCTGTGGATCTTCCTCTAGGGACCTCCTATAAATGGAATCACACGGTATTTGTCCTGTGTCTGATGTTTCATTGAGCATAATGTAGCATAGGTCAGATTTTTCTTCCTTTTTAAAGTTGAGTAACATTCCATTGTCTGGATGGACCACACAGTGTCCACTCATCCATCCATGGACACTTGGGTTGTATCTGCTTCTTGGCTATTGTGAGTAACACTGCTGTGAACCTTCATGTTCAAGTTGCAGCTTTCAGTTCTTTCCATGTGTCAAAAATTTTTTTAGCCCTGGCTGGTGTGGCCCAGTGAATTGAGCACCCCAGACTGCAAAGCAAAGTGTCGCCAGTTCGATTTCCCAGTCAGGGCACATGCCTGTGTTGCAGGCCAGGCCGTCATTGGGGGCCTACAAGAGGCAACCACACATTGATGTTTCTCTCCTCTTTCTCCCTCTCTTCCCTTCTCTCTAAAAATAAATAAAATCTTTAAAAAGTATTTTTTAACTTCAACCATTTAAAATATGTAAATACCATTCTTAGTAGACTGTATAAAAATAGCTGATGGGCCACATTTGGCCTGGGAGATGTAATTTGTTGTTGACCCCAGTTCTAGCTTATTTTCTGTAGCTGTTAATTTTTGGTCTCCTTGGGAGACCTCGTGCATTTTGTTTGATGCTGTGTCCATAGCTCAATAAACAAATCTCTTGAGCAAAGGAAGGAACAGCTAGTACATTGGCCTATTTGACATTGGCTGGCTGGTGAACTATATTAACAACAACTCTGAAGCTCTGTCCAGCCAAATAGCACCAAGATTGATTGAGGATGTCTGACCTGGGCATTAGAATGAGTGCTGGTGGTTAATGATCTAACTCTTACCCCGAAACAGCATCATTAGCAGCTCCTCTCAAGCTGCTTCAGCCCCAAGGGCTGGGAAAGGGTTGTGAAATGATTCACCAACAGGGTTGACAAGGAACCTGGTTTCTCACCTGCGATTTCAAACTCATCAGGCATCTCAGCAGTCAGCTTCTGCATAGCAATGTCTGTCACAGGTCCCAGGATCACCACTGGGCGCTTGAAATTGGCTGAGGGGCCAAGAATGACAAGAATCAAGATCCTATTTGTGGTAAAGACTGCTAGGTTCTTGCACAACCACTCTCCACTCCCCCATAGTTTCATAGCTAGCCAGGCCCACAGATGCTCAGATGAGGACTACATCTCCCAGCTTCCCTTGCAGCTAGGGGTGGCCATGTGACTAAGCTCTGGCCAATGGGGTGCAAGAAGAATTAATATGTACAATATGGGGTTATATCCTTCAAGGGAAGGGGTGAACTCCCCCCACCCCATCCTCTTTGCCCTTCCTGCTGGCTGGAATGTGGGTACTGGTGCACCATCTTGGACCACACAGGCAGAAAAA